AAACACTGTCGAGATTTGTGAATTCACTATCACCTACAGCAATTGGATTTTTTTTAAAAAGTCGCCACTCTTCGTCTCAATGTCTTTTCAAGTATGTATGTATGTATGTTGAGAAACTTTGTAGAACAGAGCTTTTATTTGAATGCAAAGTGATGTCTCTAATAAAAAAACTCTTATCGAACCTCTTAAACTTTGATGACATTGATTACTGTGTGGTGAGAGCAGGCTGCTAACCAAATTGGTAGACATTAATTTACATCAATGTTTATGTCGCAAATATTGATGGTGAGAAAATATGAACAAGACTGATTCAACAACCAATCACAGAAGACTTGGCGTAGGCAGATACAGTTAACATACAGGCGAATTGACATTCAAGAAACAGTCACAAAGAGATGCAAGGTTAACTTTCTGTGAGAAACAACCAATCAGAAGACTGTGGTTGTTTGCTTGAATAAGCTATAATAATGTACGTGTAAATATATAAATACGTGTTGATTTCCTTAATAAAAGATCTGTTGTCTGGCCCTTGTCTTCTGTTGTTACAACTGCAAACAATCTGAGTCTATGTAATTACAGTAATTTGAACACTTAAGAAACTAGCCTAAAATTATTCAAATATAACATATGAACACTTAGGCATCCAAGTCCTCGGAGTTTATGTCCCACACCTTAAACTTTAAGGTGTCCGACACCCACTTCACTCATTTGGGAAGTATCGTCAGCCCCAACCGGTTGATAGCTGACTAAATCTCAGAACGGATACAGAGGGCTAGTTTCTCATATGCCAGTTTAAGGCATCTCTGAGGTAGACGTGATATCCGACTATCGACCATAGGGCGAGTGTAGTGCTCAGCAGCCCGCTCCGTCCTCCTTTATGGCTGTGACACCAAGCCGTTGAGATTGGAAGACATGAAAAGCTACGTTAGCTGTCTTTGATCATAGGTGCCTGCGCTCCATCTTCCGTGTGAAGTGGGAAAATAAGGTGAGCAATATTGAGGTTAGGCGTCGAGTTCTAGGTAAGGAGGCGAAATCAATCGACGAGGTTGTGAAGCTACATCGACTTAGACAGTTACGTATGCCTAGCCATCGTCTTCCTTGACAATGGGTAACGTTAGTTGACATAGGGTCAGGCTGGAAAAGAGCTAGCGGTGGTCAAACCAAAACACGGATTCATCGGGGAATGAAATCCACAACAGTTAGTTTAAGCCTGTCACGTAGGAAAGCGTGGACTTCCTGACTATTTGGGGTCCTCGAGATGTTAGGAACCAATGACGGCTGGAGATAACCGGTGATACGGCTCAAAATGGTTCTCAATGGCTAGCGCAGATGCTTCCACTCCTTGTGACTTATAATACCCAATAAAATTATATTGTTCTTCGTTATTAGTATTGCTTTGTGTGTTACATGGAGTGTGTTGACTTGAAATGATGCACATCGGTGCAAAGTTCTATGTCGAAAACAGACAGACAGACAGAAGTTCAACACCACACCAAGTTTAGTCTGAGCATTGTAAGTCTTTACACATTAAGTATGACATATTGAATTTCAACACATACAAATAAAAGATTGAAAAGAAACTAAAATGAGTGGGAATGTACGAGAGAATGAATATATACATAGACAAACATGAGGCTTACATGGGGGATGAGGCAGATCACAAAGAGTGAATCTATCTACACATCACTCAGACTCAGAAAGGTTTTGAGCTATACATCACCAGTAGTGTCCAGTTAATGGCTCTTGGTTGGTGCGTCGGTGGCACAGCGGTAGAATGCTCGCCAACCACGCTTCACTTGGTTCAGGGTTCGATTCCCGGACACAGACGCACTCCTTCACCTCGCTAAGCCAGTAATTAGACTGGTGAAGAGGGAAGCTTGGACATGAGGCTAACAACCCCATCATGTAAAAATAATCACCACCGCTACAGAAACTTGACAACAAAAAACGACCCAGACTGATGATCAAGTATTTCACAGTCTACACTTAGTTTAGTTACCTTTACCTACTCCCAAACATGACAACCAAAATGACCTCATAGTGACGAACGATAATCAAGTATTTCACATTCTACACTTAGTTTGGTTACCTTTACCTATTCTCGAACTTGACAACCAAAAATGACCCCAGACTAACGAACGATGATCAAATTAGTAAACTTTATTTTGATATAATAACAGATATACTATTACCTTTGATATTTGGTTTGAACGATCTTCATTGTTATTTTGACTTTCAATATGTCCTTTTAAGTTGAATATTTTTCTCACCCCCTAATTCTTTGTTATATATATGCTGAGATTTTGTAAATTCCGGTTTAATAATACTTTGAGAAAGCTATTAGCATTAAATAGCGAAACGTCAGTAAAAACAATCTCGTTTTGTTTTTTCATTCATTGGGAAATACAAAAAAAAACCTCTATTATAATGGACTGCTACAGAAACTCCAAGTCTCTAGCTTGAAGCCCTATGTCCCACTGGGAACGTAAAGGAATTAAAAAAAATGGTTCTTAGCATGCTGAGGAACCTAACCAAGTAGTCTAAACTTCTCCAGGTGGTTGGCTACAAACCAACTGTCAAAGACTTCATGGAGTGATTCCAGGCTTTGGTTTGACAACTACTAACTCTTTTGCAATCTAATTCCTTTGTTGATAAATGTTCAATGAAGAGCATTTTAACACTAACTGTCAATGGCAGTTGACGGATATACCAGTGTTTATTTTTGATATACATACGAAGAAAAAGGTGATGACGAAACACACACAATTTACCAAGTGCATCACAATCCGAAATGCACACGAAACCTCTCAATCCAAATGCATTAAGGGGTTCGTGTATTACGAAACTTCTCAAGATGGAAGTGCTATTGTTCAATGATGGACACTTTCGATTACAAGTGGAGACGAATTTTACTTTGACCGAACAGCAACTAGTAACTAATGTCATGCATCTGAATTCTGTCAGTCATGTTTACAATGTGGTCACCATAGCATTAGGTGGCTTACCACCACGGTGCACTCTGAATTGTCTTTATCTGTCTGTCTGTCTGTTTTCAACAAAGAACTTCGCACCGATGTGCGGCAGTTCAATTCGCCCCACTCCCTCTATGTAGCTTACAAAGCAAAAGAAGAAAGTGAAAAGAAATGTATAATAGAGACAATAGACAGGAATATGAAACAAAAGGAATAGTAACAACGAAGAACAATATAGTTTCATTGGAAATTATAAGTCACAAGAAGTGGATCCATCTTCGCCAGCCATTGAGAACCAATTGTCCCCAGCCTTCATTGATTTTTACCGTCCCGAGGACACCAACCAACCAAGAAGTCGACACCTTCCTACGTGACAGGCTTAAACTAACTGTTGTGGATTTCATTGACTGATGAACCCATAAGTTTTGGTATGACCGTCGCTAGCTCTTTTCTCAAACTGACCCTATATCAGCTAACATTGCCTGTTGTCGAAGAAGGCGATGATTAGGCATACATAACACATGTCCCAACCATCTTCGTCGATATAGCTTCCCAACCTCGTCGAATTGTCTTTATTAGATGGTTGGAGGTAAAAATTGTAAATTTGACTGATAGAATTCAATCTGCACCAACCTGAAGGATCAAACGACGCATAACACATTAGCTACTTACTAGCGGCCAATCAAGTATCCATTATTTATCCCTCAGGAGGTTAATCACTATCCAGCATAACTCAGTAGTAACATCGTTGACTAACTACAGCACGGAGTAACCCAAGTTCGAATCTCAGAAGGAATATGAATCCCTTGGAGATTGCAGATACGCCTTGCTGACTGGTGAATGCACGAAACCCAGGTCCAAGGCATCCTGACGATTGCCTCCAAGCATGTAAAAACAATTCGAAGATGAATGTTACACTAACACACTTTAAAATATTACTTTTAATATTCGCTTAAATGATCTACGATGCTTATATTTCAATAGTTTACACACAATGATAAGTTTTTTTTGTTTTTTGTTAATATTTCGAGTAAAATTACTGCCCGTGATCACACCAACCATTTGGAATTGTATTTGACACGGTGTTTTCTTCCGTGTGTACTTTAAATCATGTGATGTGACGTGTGTCTTTGTGTGTGTGACAGTTAAGTAGGGAATTAAATAGGCAGAAAGAAAGTGCATCTGATTTTATAATGATCACCTATACTGAAAAATCATACGTCATCAGCTATTGCTGAGATCTCACCTGAGAGAAAAAATTAATTTACTTAGATCGACTAATGATAATAATAATAACACATGAAAAATAGATATAGATATCACAAAGTTGACTGTTAATTCACATAAGATAAGAATAATTATAACAATGCAAAAACACGATAGTTGGAGGCGATTGGCAGGAAGCCTTGGACCTAGGTTTTGCGCCAGTTGGCACTCATCAGCAAGGCGTATCTGCAACCAGCTTGAAGAAACTCATGTCAATCGTGAGCCCGAATAGCTCAGTGGTAATGCCTCTGACTGCAGCACTGGGTGACGCGGGTTCGAATCTCAGAAGGAACATTTGTTCCTTCAAGGTGGCAGATACGCCTTGTTGACTGACTCATGAGTGCCAACTAGCACGAAACCTAGGTCGAACGAGGCTTCCTGCAGATTGCCTCTAACTACCGAAAATCATCAAATTAGTGTACACTGTGATGGTGAACCACCTAGAATGGTGACCACATTGCAAACCTGACTGTTAGAATTCAGTCTTCACCAAAAAAAGGACTAGACACGTCACACTAGTTACTAGTGTCCAATCAAAAATGCAAAAACACGTTGTAAGGAAATAATAATAATAATAACGATGATGATGACGACGGCTCATTCACACTACAACTCTATCACTGCTGATATCACACGTTTCCAATGGTTAGCATATGAAAAAAAAAAAACACACACATGTATATCTCGTAATTTCATGTGAAAATATTAATGAATATTATAAAGGACAACGGCGATAAGGGAGGGCATGCTAAGATCACTCACTTCAGGATGAAATTGTTGTTCCGTTCGTGTATGACAATAAACGCAGGCATCACCAGTATCACAAAGACTACTATCCTGCCATTCATCACCAGGACGAACAATTGGACAAGGTGTACTACGATATAAAAATTTATCTGGTGCTCTTCGTTTATCCTTTCCATTATGATAGAATGGACATGAATAACCTTGACGACACATTCTTGGTGGTTTTTTGCATAATTCCGTTTTGTAACAGGCGAGTACATGAAACATTTCTGAATGAATAAAAGATGGATTTTTAAAACAAGCGATATATATATATATATATATATAACCAAACATTTAAACAGCATCTATAAGATTTACTATAGATACAATACAATATATCTGATGAAAAAAACACAGTTAGGTTAGACTTCTAGAGAACGACCAAAGCACACAGGGGTCATTGATGCGATCGGTTGTTTGGAGTTTCATAGTTTAACTGGGGTGTGACAGTACTACGGTAGAATGTAATTCCACATTAGATCAGCTTATTCTATCATACACAGCAAGCATATTTTTCCGTCCATGATCCCGTGCCAAAATGACTTTCTGAACATTTTGTTTTATGCATATATATATGTATATATATATATATATATATATATATATATATATATATATATATATATATTTCCATGCTATTATTCAGTTTTACTATCCGCCGTAGGGATAAAAAATTTTCAGATTACAGGATTTGTAGGGAATTAGATTTATTTCAGTGGTTAGGTTCCGTCACTGTCCAACATTGAAAACCAGTAGGGAGCATTGGACAGCTGTGTTCTTCCCATTTCTGAACTCTTCATTAGTGCGAACCGACAACTCAACCAAAGATTGAACCCGGGACCTTCAGGTTACCAGACTGAGCTCGTTGACTATTCAGCCACTTGGGTCAGAATTCAGAGACCTGTGAATTCTTACTTTGTCAACTCGTGACATAGCTCTATCCTCACCAATGGCTTTGGTGGGCATCCACTTCACTAAGATATGGTGCATTCCGTTGGTCACAACTTCTCAGTACAGCTTCAGGGCATCTCTATCCAATAGCCATCAAAGAGGTGGAGATTAAAAGTCATCGATGTTGTGTCGCTTAAAACACAAACTAGCACTAGTGATTGCTATCGTATTTCTTAAAAATAAGAGAATTGGTCTACTGAGAAAAAAATGATGCTACCAACCTTCATGACAGTCAGTTTAGCTACAATGAATGGGATATGAACTAAATGAAAACATTCAAGGATGACTCGCTCAACAACGACTATTGTGGTGGTCATGAAACGATAGTTGCTGCTATAATCCAGCGGCTATTTGCATAAACTTACTGTAGCAAACTAAAAGATCGGGTTCGAACCCCGGCAGATGCGTACTGAAGTGGAATCCAAAACCAACACGAAACAGATATCCAGTACTCTACGGGTTTCCAAAAGTTCTCTAATTGATGTCAGCTTGTGACCACCAAACACCTGTAACCAATCAAATCCTTACAAACCAATACTTGATAATTTAATATGATGCTTACTAGTGACAGGCTCTATATACAAGAAGTGACCTGGAGTTCTAATGAGAAGACGTGACCAGAGGGGTCCACCAAATCAGGTAAGAGAACAGATATTAGCGTATGACATTGACTGGCGCTCGCACTGTATATACCGTGAATTGGTAGAAGTAGGAATTCAGGGACGATTAGATCGGGTCACTGTGGCTGAATGGTCTACGACCTCGCCCCGAAAGCGGAACATCCTGCATTAGAATCCCGGTAGGTGCGTACTAGGATAAAACAGTTAGTCAGTAATCCCTGATACTAGCTGGTGATCACACCCGTAACTAATCGAATCTCTAAAAACCAACACGTGATATAAGGGAGATATGCCAGTAAGTTCTAAAGACAGCACAGGGGATAGACAGTGCTATAATGCCATCAAACTGTGAAGAATAGTCCAGGAAGTTCAAACATTTCTGAAGCCTATAAGTACTTCAACACTGTTATACGACTGTTGAGAAACTTAGGCGTTACAGTGCTAGATAAAGTTAAGTCAGCTGACTGACTGACTAACACACAACAGATTATGACATGTAGGCTTTTCTCAAGAAGTCACGCCAGTTGAAGTAACAGCTAACTTCAGTGGAGATGAAGTGATGAGTAGTCTGCATATGTGCTTAAAGTGGCAGCTCCAATTTGAAAAAAGTGAAGGAATACAAGTACAAGTCATAGCATTACTCATCAACTCTTGTTTCCAAACGAAACTATTTTGAGGATCAATATATGTGCGTCGGTGGAACAGTGGTCAGGACTCTCGTCGACCATGCACATGGTCTGAGGATTGATCCCCTGCCGACGCACACCTGATATCTATGGTCGGCCTGCAAAATATGGGCTACCGATATCCATGCTGAAAATTCCATACTTGTACCAAAAACACAGTGTGGAATCAAGCTGTAAATAAAAAAAATCATCACACAGGTTATGAAGTTGGGATAATCACTTTCCTAATGCATCATAATACACGCGGATCTATAAATCAACAAAATGAGTAAACCATTTTGCGAGATCCCCGAACACACATTACTCAAAGTAAGAAGATAACAGAAATCAATGGATCTTGATGGAAACATATGCAGTTATGTCCTGATGAGGCAAGTTTAGTTACGTTTTGTGAAAAAGTAACAAAGTAGACACACTTGTAATGGTTGTAGCCAACTAGTCTTCGTTAAAACTCAGGATACTCGCCGACCATGCACATGGTCTGGGGTTCGATCCCTGGTCGACGCACTCCTTTACCTCGCTAAGCCACAAATAAAAAGCTGGTAATGAGGAAAGGTTGGGCATGAGGCTAGCAACCCCATCCTGTAAAAATAAACACTGCTACAGAAACTTCAAGCCACTAGCTTGAAGCCCTATGTTCCACTGGGAATGTGAAGGAAAAAACTCAAAATGCAAAAGCAGATAATAACGTATCCAGACGACGTAGAAGTAAAAGAATACTCTTCAATGAAGTGTAAGAAATGTTCGATATACTGACATCAAGGGATATCAGAGTATAGACAATAAAAGACATCTCTGAAGTCATGTTTCACGCTTATAATTTACTGAACTGGGGTGTTCTATTCCATTTTCATCTAGAAACATGAAAGGTATTTATGTATAAGTGAACCCTTGGTTTTACCAACAAATACGGTTGCTTCACCGTAAGGGTAGTTACGAAGCTCCTAGCTTTTTATTTTACAGTAATCCACTTCATCCTACATTTGCGTTTCAAACAAAGTCGTTGAATTAAAACCACAGACAAATGTTATTTAATAAAAAACCAAAACTAGCAAGAACAAACAACATACCATTCCACTTAGGGTCTTCACTTAAAACTCGTTCCTTCTCTAGGCTAGCTGGTAAATTGACAGTGAATTTTGAAGAAGCATCTTGAACTTCTCTTATATCATAAACGGGTAGACGAATATCATCTGGACCGTGTGCAAATGCACAATGTAGACCATTCTTAACACATGCACCATTTTCCATTGTTTCATAAATACAGTTTCCAGTTTTAAAATAACGCGGATGATATCTTCTTTCTGTATCGCCAGCATTACGGTGAGCATAAGGGCATCTATGATGCGGTGATAGAAAGTAAACAAAATTGTGGGTAAAATACATGAGAAATGGATTAGTGTAACAAGGATTATGATCTTAACCGACTTTAGCAACTACGGAATTGACTTTTTATCAATGGAATCTCGAGAATTTAGAGTATGCAGGTGCTATAGTCCTTCTGCGTAAAGACCCTGACAAAATACCAAGTCTTCTGAACACCTTGGGCAGAACTCTTTGTATGTTCGGCATGCAATTCACCTTTGTCAAATGTAAGATGATGCTGCAGGACTTGAATGCACTGACTTCTGGTAGACAGTGAAGTAGTTGAGCATGCTGACTACCTCACTTAAGTGGGAAGTTACATCAGCCATAATGGACCGATCGCTGATGGGAATCTCCACCGATACAAAAGGCTCATGTGGCATTTGCTAACTTACATCACATCTGGCGTAGACATGACTTTCGATTATCAACCAAATGATGTGTACTGCACCGCAGCAGCACTGTCCCTTTTTATGACTGTGAGATCTGGCCGATGGAAGCGGGAGACATGAATAGGCTGGGTGCATTTGATCCGTACACTTTTGCGTTCTACCTACCGCGTTAAGTGGTATGATATGGTGAATAATACTGAGGTCAAGTGCAGTGTTAGGTAAGGAGAGGAACTCAATCCATGAAGTTGTGAAGCTGAATCGCTTGAGGTAACTACGATATGTGCCGCGTATACTCAGACATCGCTTTTCTCGGCAAGCAATATTAGCTGGATATAAGATTAGGTTGGAAAAGCGTTAAAGATGACTAGATCAAAACCTGACACTGATCCCTGACGGTTTGAGCCACGTAGGGAAGTGTGGACTGGCTGACTGGGGTCCCCCAGAGATGCTAAGAAACAATGATTGTAGACCGTTGGTGACATGGCTCAAAACCCTTCTCAATAGTGCAGTAAAGTTCGAATTTACGAACACCACTACACTCATCAAATTTTTGTGATTCTTCGCGTACTTATTCTCCGTTCAGTGTAGTTCCATTGTACCTTAATATGTATTTTATGACTTCTGGTAACTTAAACTGCTGCAATTTCGTGTACAGTTCAGCAATGAAACTCCAGCAATGGAAAGAACTTAATTCAACAATGTTAACATACGATGTGCATTTGGATTATCTACTGTCATTTAATGCAAGTAACTGGTTCAAGTATTTTGAGATTTCCTAATGTACATTACAAAATAAATTAAACCAGATATAATCGTCAATTATACAACCAGTGGATGTTTACTAAGAAGGTTAATTTTTTGAAACAAATGAACCATAAAAACTCGGATTATCTGTCCTATCTAATACCATGAGTCTTGAATAAAAACAAGAACCACGGCATCACCCAGTACACTGGTATATTGCTGAAACTTCGCATACACGGGAACAATTCATTTCTACCTACCGAATTCGGTAGAAAAAAATTAAACTAGTGCATCAACCAACACAACACTAAACATACATGGTACGGAAGTTTTTACTCTCACGTGTGAAATTATTCCAAAGATTAACAGGACCTGATACCTCGTGGTGCAGGTAAAACTTTTTTATGGTCGATAGAAGCAGATTAGTACTGATTAGTCGCACTTATTTTATCACGACGTTTCATCAGACACATACCTACAGTGCTTAATTTCAATTTTTAGTCTACAACAAAGGCCAAGTTATGCTCATAAAATAATCTCCATAAGTAAACATTAGAATGAATCTTCTAAAAGAAAACTAAAGCAGAAACACCACAAATCAGTGTTTTTAAGTCGGTATTTCCCAACAGCACAAAGAAAACAAATTATCGACGGTATCAAAACAGTCAGGTTACCAAAACAGACTTGAAGTAATAAGCTGTTTGGAATTTAAATTATGACAGATTTACAGCAAAATCACTTGTTATTTCCAATTATTCTTAGTATCGAGGTAACTGCAGTTAGACAGTCTACATCCTCCCAAACATATGCTGGTCTAACTGTAGCCCGACACCGTATCAGTAGAATTTAAGAACAAATAGTTACTAAGTATTGATAACACATGCTCTATGCATGTAACTGGTGCTGAAATTTGAAACGATTGTAATATACACCACAACGCAAACATCACACTATATTTAGACAGAAGTGTTACATGTGAAAATGATTATCTAAGGAATCCGTCGGCAATCGGAATTGATTCAACTGTATAACTGAGGCAATTAATGCACTTAATTAATCAACCTTTAAACCATAGGTAAGACATTAAATTACATATTACATCTATTAAATAAGCTAAATATGTATAAATAATAAATTCATAAAAATATTTTCATAGATCACCCAAAAATCGGGACATTCATCAGGAAAGACCATTGTACTTTCCTGTTCCAAATCAATAAGGAAATCTTGGAATAGAACACTACTGCAAAAATAGAGAATGAAAGCCACGTTGTGGTTTATCACTAATAGACAGCATAAACGCTGTTACCTTCCTAAATGCGCAACCGGATGATTGGTTCCCATCAACAGTAGGGATAGATTGTAGTCGAAAAAATATCAAACCAAAACTGCAATTAAGAGTAGAGTGGAAATTTTGGTGCTTACATTTTAGAATACGATTCTGGGATTCACAAACCTTTAAACACTTATGAGCGCGGTATTACTGATTAGATAATTAGCCGACCTAATTTGCAGTAGGTAATTTGGATTTGCTGGAGAGCTCTTTTAGGTATGCTGGCAGAAGCAGAGAGAGGTTAAATGGGTCAGAAGAGAATAAAATGGCAGTACAGTGACTTATTTTGACAAACAAAATGTGGCAATGACTGGGTACGAAATACAGTCAGGCAACACATATGTTTGTCATCTGAAGGTAACAGCTTACACGATTCTTTGGAAGGTATTTATTATCCAATCTTAGTTTGCAGTCGAAATCCTTTTTAATTAAATGGTCTGGTTAGTCAAAACATCAAGTGACTTAGTCTGATGCTTAATAAACTTATTGGAACAGTTATCTTCAACTATCCTTCCTTTGTGTGTAAAGTGAGAAGTGAAGTCTAAACAAGTACACTTAATGCAGAAACAAAGTACCACACTAATTTCTAACTTCTTACTTCTAGAACCCGTGGAGCATTCTAAGCTGAAGTACCAATAAAATAGTTCATTAGGATCTCGGGTTGATTCAACAAAATTGGTTAAATGGTACGTATTTTCGAACTAATCAATTCAACAGCTATTTTACCACGAGTTCGGTGAAAATTTATATGTACCAAAAACAGTTGCACTGCAATCTAATTAGACATGGAACTATATCCAACTCTTCAAAGCCTCACGATACGTGTGAACCTAAGAAGATGCTATATATGTCGTGAAAAATGACTATTTCTGTACACAACTATAACTGAAATTACCAGTCTAACCTCATTCTTATCAGTCTATTTGGAAATTATTGACAAAATTCATAAAAACAACACAACTAATATTTAAATTCTGATAAATGGAAAAATTGTAATTTCTATATACCTTTTTGGGGAAAGAAATCATCTGTCAACGGTTCCACAAATTAAGACAACACATAAAAGATGACAGGGGAATATTTACATAAGTCAGCAGTTTAACCAAACTTTCAAAAAACATCGATAAATATTCGCATGACTCACTCATCTCCATCTGCACATGATCCACTTGTCTCATCATATTTATCGCAATATACATCCGGATTATAGTTAAAAGTTCCATCGGGTCTTTTGAAAGGTCTTCTTCGCTTTTGATTTGGGAAATGCCAATGAAAACACGTATACGGACGGTGAAACTGGCATTGCTGTTCCAAAAACAAGAGGCACTGTTGCGTCCGAAATTCGTTTAGATATCTAGTGATAAATGTTATATCGATCTAACAAGTTACTTTAAGTGTCTAGGCTTTTCTTGGCGTATGGTGAAGTTTTTAGGCGAGAGGAGAAATTGTATTGCATCATTGTTTGTGACCATTATCATTATACTTCAACTACCACCCCTGAAAACCATTTCTCTAAGCCCCGTCCGAAAATCTACTGGTTCTTCTCCGACCTTGAGTCGTGGCGTCAGGAAGGCAAATAAATATTGAATACTGAATGCACTTAAATACACATATCAAGGTCAAGCTAAAACTGTAAAAAAAACTTAGAAACAACGTCATTCAGAACCTGCTAGCCTTCCTGAAAATTGAAAATTTTTTATCTAACCTTGGAGCTTGCATTTCAGTACTGATCTGTGGAAATGTAATCGATTTCTGACATTGAGTTTGACGTTTTCATTATTTTGATGCTAAAGTCATTTGAATTCGGCATCTGTGTGAAGCGTATTTCGAGAGAAATCAGATAGAAATATGGTCATTCACAATGGCTTCATTCAATTTATGGTACTTTTAGTCAAGGAGACAAACTGTACTCCATCCATATCGTTTTGAACGGAACATATGACTTGATAAGAAAGGTCATCTTATTTTTTTATTACAGCTTGATTCCACACAGTACTTTTTGGCAGAAGTATGGAATTTTCACCATGTGATATCGTAGCCCAACTTTTGCAGGCCGACCACAGATATCAGGTGTGCGTTGGCAGGGGATCGAACCCCGGGACCATGTGCGTGGTCGGCGAGGGTCCTAACTACTGTGCCACCAACGCACAAGCCCCTCAAGCGTTGGAAGGGATCCTTCGGTGCATAATTCTTCTCATGCACTTTTGTAAGGGGGTGACATGGAGTCGCTTTAGAATTGAAACATTAGATAAAATGTTTAGGACCACGAGTTAAACTTCACTTTTTTTCCCAGTACCCCACCTGTATATCATTAGAACACGATGCATAACCACCAAGCTAACTTGTAAAACTTTTTCAGCTGCTCCAAACACGCACATCGGTGGCACGTAGATATTTAGGGAGGAAATCTATAACTGAGTGCCATTATGGAAATTTTTCAAGACTCATGGCATTTATGTTCTAAATCTTGAGTGTGATTTGGAGGTGCGGGCCAGAAATAAACTGAATTCGACCTTCCCACGATTATCTTACACTTCTCCATATTGTTTGGGGGAGAACTTTCCGTGGTTTATTTAATAATAGGGATGTCCGCGAGTAGACGTTCTCCAGTCGCCACCCTAAGATCATCTCAGTTAAGCAATAACTTGGAATGAAGAGAGAAAATATAACTCATTGTTAACTGGGGTGGCTTGAAGAAATAAATCCACTAACCTCAGAAATGTTATGGTTCCTAGAATATTTTTACTTATTTCCTCGATAACACCGACAACTATAGGCTCTCAGCCCCGTATGAAAGTCTCAGAACTTCTCGCCAATGTCCTATCGCCAGCGGAACAAGTGCCATAAACACAGATAACACAGGGCACACTGGGAGGATTGCCAAATAGGATACGTTATTCTTCGGAGAGTGTGCCCAGAACAACTAATAATCTGTCTGTCTGTGCTGAATGAGACGAAATGCAGAAAATTGGGTTTTAAAGTAACAAGAGTTTGATGACTCTGTTGTGCTGTAACTGTACTCTCTCCGTGTCACCACTAATAAACACACCTTTTAGCAGCCGTATAATATTAATAATAATAATGTATATTCTCATATAAACATATAAATTTACATGAAAATGCATGCCATTTTTACAGGCACGATCAAGTATGATATAATATCAAATCGTAGATTGTCTACAAGTTAATAATGTTTCAACAGTTAAATATTTGATATATATATATATATATATAAATACACTTATTGTCTGAACTAGGCTGTATAGTTATTGAATTGTACAACTGTCCTCCAGGTTGTCCTCCACAAGATGGGTAAGAGTTACGAATGGCCTTACCACAATGTTAGGTGTGCTAGACTAAAGAGTCAGTAGGTGGTGTGACTAGAGTTCAGGTCTAACAGGATAGATCGCCACATAACAACCATGAGCATTATTTATGGTTGAAGCCAACTGGTAACGGGCTTGAAGTCATTCAGTCGGCCTAACTAGCTGGTTCCCTAGAGTCTCACTGGTAGTTTGGCTCATAGTCAATGTCAATGTCCGGGCCTTATTACGCTGGACCTCACGCTCTCCCTGGAAGACTTTCAGAAACAGTCAACAAAATTCATACAACCACGCGCCTAACCCAAACTAACTCACAAGAAACAGGGGAACGAACGACTCTTTGTCAAGTAGAGATTACACAAAAGAAGTCCCCAGACAGTCACCTATAATTCGTCAGGGATAAAACCACTTCTTGGATGATACAAGAACTGCAATCATTGTCATACCAAAAGCAGAGGCTGAGCAGTGATGACGGAAGTCCTTAATCACGCTGCAGGCAAGCCAATAGAGCCGACACAGCGATGTTTGGGTTGAAGTGACTGAACCCAGACCTCGGATAGATTGTCTGCTTACAAAGGTTTTAATGCTGCTGACCTAGACCAAGCAAAACTCACTGCTTTCCAGGAAAGATATTACTTATTACTGGATGCTCGAAAGAGAGCTCCGATAGTGGAAGAAACCTTGTCAGCAACGTCTCATAAACCGTTAATGCCCAGCTCTTGCTACGCTCGGGCCCACGCTGTTCCTTGCAGGTTTTCAGAAACGCTTAGTAATAACGGACGAAAAGACCAAAACACCCATTGGCCACTCGAGAATTCTTTATTGTTACACCAACATATAAAAATATTTCTATTAAGGTCTGTGAACAAATATTACAATAATAAATCACAAGATTACTTCTGATGGTTGTCTCCTGACTTCTTTCTGAACAGTGACCGATGAGACGATGACTGTCGTATTGATGCCTCCGCGAAAATTGGGGAAGTTGATTTTGAGCAAACAACAATGAATTGATCGTTCAATCTTCAACTACATTGACACTCCCCGGCAAAATAGGGATCCAACCTTTTTTTCCTTCACGACCAATGCACGTTGACTTGGATGCCATTGCGAGAACCTGGGTCACACGGACAGAGCTGAAATGGAAAACAAACAGAAAAGCCAACACACCACAAGCATACCCACAGCACAATCTCACACATCGATGACGACCTGCGCCTCCAGACAAAGGTATCCTCTTGACATCTTGCAACACAATCGCCACTTGCTAGAATGACTCTTGCAGAATGCAACGTGACCATAGCACCAACTCACGATACTCTACGCACATCCTCTTATCTACTCACTACCAATTACCACTGAAATCGCTTGTCACTCATTCTGCCTCAGTTCTAGTAACGGTGACGTATGCGAGCCTCAGTCGTTTACACTCCCGCTCCCCGGCGTGTGGGACCAGAGCTAACAATTATCTCCGTATGCATTTCATTCTCAGCAATAGCCTCTCCCCGGCGTATACGACCCATCTGCTGTCTTTAACATCAATCAATTCATTCACGGATGTAGAAGACTGGAAACAACTTCAGAAGTAATCACGACGAAAATTTTAACAAAATTACGCAATAACAACAAGGTACGAAAACAACAAGTAAACACAATGAATCCAAAATACACCAATTGATATGACACACCACACGTATATACAAACAGTACAAACAAACTCGCAGATCGTGTCTCCATGTAATTACTTTGAAGAATCGCAGGGCTTACACCAGTACGCCTACAACCCTTCACAGGTTGACGATTGTAAGTTGTGGAATGTCCGGACACAAACAAGATTAACCAACAATTACATCAATTGGAACTCACACAATTATTTAACACAAACATATGTACAATCAACACATCAAATGTTGTGGATTCTGGCACGACAAACTACCCTTGAAGAACTGTAGGACTTACAGCAGTACGCCTACATTCCTTCTCAGGTTGATGATCCAAGTGGAAGTCGTCCGGACACAAACAGAATTACCAACAGCTGGATGACAGATGATATCAATTCAGTATATACAATATGAACATATGTACAAAATCACACACCAAGCACATTGGACTGCTCATTGATGCGCTACCCTTTGGAGAATTGTAGGACTTACAGCAGTACGCCTACAACCCTTCTCAGGTTGACGCCCTAGGTTGGAAAATCGTCGCAGAGTTCATTTGCTAACTTCCTTCTATGAGCTATATCCTCAAATCTGAACGGCAACACGCCCATGTCATTGTATCGTAGAATATAGATGACGAACAAACACACGACGTATCTGGTCAACCAAGCGTATGCACAGAGTAATTTACACCAAAGATAATAACATTCAAATAGTAATTTGAAACTTGAAGGGCCTTTATTCATGCAAGTCAATTTAACAATTACCCTCTCATACACACTTGGCTTATCCTCACGAAACTGAGCAATATCTTTCATCTTTTCAAACGCACCAATACTATCATAGTCATTGCATAAGACACTTGAGTTCATGGACGTCCATTTCATTGTGGATGAAAACACCAACGATGACTGAGTGACACAAGGTGATGTACTTAGCGGTGGATCAGAAGCTGTTCTTTTTCGGCTTTCAGATAGTTGTCTAACTGCAAGATTACCACCACTGCTGTCTTTCACTACTAGTTCGGGTTTAGCACTATCATCTGATGATAGGTGGGCTACACGCTGATCAATTACACTGACTGTCTCACAAGTATGCACACCTTCTGCAACTGCATTCAATTCTACTTCACGTTGTAGTTGTACAGAACCTTTATTTAACTTAGCAGTAGTAGGCATATCCCTCATTTCATCATGATCAACCAAAGACAAATGTGAAGTATCATGATCATTATCACGAATATTCACTTTACCGTCAAGTTCATCATTTTCAAACTCTTTAATAACAGAAGTAGACAATTTTGGTTCCTCCTCACAAATCATAAAAGGTTTTATATCTTCACTCTGACTAGTTATACTTTGTAAACTTTTGGAGTCAGAACTGCACTCTGAAGCAGTAACTCTATTCTGTGACACTCTATTCAACAATGGCTTACCAGTTGCAACTACAGACTTCTTCACCGCACCGTTATCGTCACACAATTCGGAGTCAGGC